TGTTTGTAATGGGTATGGAAAATGAAAAATTTTTCGACTTGTAAAGAAATGTAAAGACACTGTTGAAAATTTTTGGTCCCAATTTGCGGCACATTTTTTGAAACTTTTAATGACTGCAATTTTAGCACTACCTGTCAGAAATTTTTTGAACTTTCATGACACATCTTGTAGTAATTCTCATAAAAGACGATACCTGGAAAGTACATCTCCTCCTCTTCACCCCGAAAAACAATAGAAAAAATGTAAAGTGTATATTTTTTCAACTCGTATAACGAATTTTTCGAGTGTTGAATGAAGAAGAATAAGGGCACAGGGTGTTATACGGCGCGACAGCTATGGAAGAAAGGAATTGCCCGACGAAATTATTTCCCTTATAAATCAACAGTCATAAAGTACAAACGCTGGAGATTGCTGTTGTTATCTTTTTCATTTTATTCCCCTCGGTGGATTTTCATTAGTGGTTTCCCTTTTTTTTTTTAATAGAAGTGGATTATGCGGCGTAAAAATAAATATCAACATCGCGAGTTGTTCCGTAAAGATAAATAAAAATCGTCCCAAAACGTCTTCTGCCTATTGCTGTTAATCGCTCCAGTTCCGAGATAATTCCCACCCAATTATTTTCATCCCCCATTAATCGTAAAAATGACCAACACGAGCATTATGATTATCTCCTAACGATGAACAATCATCATGTAGCACTCGAGCCGAAGATAGTGGAGCATCGAGCATCGAAATACCACCGGCCACCTAACGTAGATGGCTGATTCGAGGTCATAGGTGGGGGCGAGGGGGGCGGGAGGGATGTAGTAATTTGTCGGCTTGGAAGGAGAGGCGACTGGCTCCAGGCTGATAACGGGGGAGTGGTCCATTCTCGTCTGATTTGAACCTGCTCCCAGGCTACCCCCTGTTCCACTTACAACATCCCACCCCATCCCGATACTCCGTATATACCCAAGACGTCAGACTCCCTCTTACCATCGCTTCATTCTCCTCCTGTTTCTTCTGTCTCCGTTACACTTGCTCCACTGCCTTGTTTCATCTTTCAATCATCTTCTTATGTTCTACTTACGTTGAATGTAAAGACGGTTCTTATGAAGTTAGAGTGAACATTTCGAGGGATTTTTCCTTGGGGGAAGTATTGGACACATTTTTTGCTTCCGAATGGAAGCATTGTAATCATTCAAATGCAAGTTTTGGATTTTTTGTTTTATATCGACCCAATGTGATCCAAAAAGTTCGAAAATGCAATTTTTAGTTAAAAGATAATACGGTAGCTATATTGGTTGATTGGATTTTTATGACGCACGGAGAGAAATGTTTATGGAATATGATTACGGAATCGACTCAGAAAATTTAAGTAACAGTATCGTAATTTTTCACAGGAGATTCGGATAAAAATTACAAAACGCTCCGGAAAAATTCCGTGACTGGGTTACAACCCCACTACTAGCCGAAGCGTGCGATGTTGTCCGATCAAAATTCGACTGTTACTACTGCAGTCACAAGTCCTCCATTGTCTATGAACATTTTCTTTAGTTATTGTTTTTGAGACCGGAAACATACGTCATAACGCTTCTATTTTGATGAGAAAAATGTTTTCAGTAGCGAAGTGGTAAAGGGAGATAAGTCAATTATAACTATTGACCAGTTTTCAATCAATATCTCGGAATCTAAGGGAGATAGCGAAATTTTTGTTATAACGTTTTTTATGGAGCCGATTGAGTACTACAACAAATGTGATTACGAAAATTTCGCTCTCTCCCTTAGATTCCGAGATATTGATTGAAAACTGGTCAATAGTCAAAATTAACTTATCTCCTTTTACCACTTCGCTACTGACTTGTAACATGAATGATTTATGTAGTCAATTTGATTTTTCTTTTCAACCATCCTTAAGTGGCATTATCTCTCTATATGATAAAAATCCAAATCGACTTCTGGTGATGAAAATTTGGTAATCGAAATTGAGGGTCACAAGGGTCATGAGGGTAAGAATAAGGGTCAGGGCGAGTAGAGCGACTAATTACAATAAAATTGAAACATGAATTTTTTTCAAAGTTCAATGTCATTGTCAATTTATCTATTCGATTCCCCTGAAACTACAAAACCCAGACCAATCCTCTTTTTCTTCCCCCAAAATAAGTAGTTGGAAATGTTCCCAAACTTGGGAACATCTAATCTTATTTCCATTAACCCCCGGTATCCTTTATTACCCCCTAATTCTCACCATCCCCGAGAATACACGAGGCGCACGTTTCTCAATCAGTTTACCATTAGCACGGTGAAAAGTTCTAATTAGTCAATGTGCAGGGAATAATCATTAGTTTCTACTTAAATCTATTCAACAATTGCATTACCCCGAAAACTAAAAGTGATAGAAGTTTTCGGGGGACAGTAAGTATTAAATTAAGAGTAGTTACATGAACATCGTTTGAAAATCAAGGACGTGCATTAGTAGCTCGTTTGGAGATTGAATTGATGGGGACAGGGGGACGAGAGCATCAGACGTAATACCGTTTGTTGGGGGTAAATATGGATGGAAATATCAACATATTTAAAATACTCCGCTGAATTTTTCAGTTGCCAGTGGCTGGGGGAGCCTTCGCTATCTCATCAAGCCTAAACACTCATTTAATTTCCATTTCATTATGATTATAATCCCGGGAAATTCATGTATTCTGTTTTTATCTCCTCCTCTGGCGTTTGTTAATTAATATTATTGGCGGAGGCACCGCGGCAGTAGCTGTTTGTTTTTGTCAGAGGCTGAGTACCTGGGGAACTGGGATAGAGAGTATAATATGTACTCACCACATCTGCAAGACCCTGTCAACTCCAGGACCCAAAGACCAACAGTTGGATACACAGAGTCGACTTCAACCTCTTCGACGCCTCGCATCTTTGATCACGTTTGACTCGGGTATATACCCACAATCGCAGATATTCTGGAATATTTAATTCTAGAATTAGTACAATGGAGGAGGGAAATTGATTTATCGTTGCTTAAACTGCGCTGTCAGATAATTTTGGACGAAATGGACACTCTTGACTTTTTTAACGTGTCAATTGCTCACGTAGATCTCTAGGAAATGGGATATTTTTTTCCATGAACAGGACAATCGTTTCTCTTTGTGATGAGCTTAGATTAACTTCAATTAATATATTTGTTCCCGAGTTATTAACATTAGACAAAAAGTCGAAAGGGTTCATTTTATTACACCTATTCTTGAAATTTTTTGTCCCAACTAATAATGCAAATTCTTTAAGCTTTCCGAGAATTTTCTCTAACGTTTTTCAATCAGCAGCGAAGTGCTAAAACCGTTCAAGGTGATTTTGACGATTGGCCAGTTTTCAATGAATATCTCGGAATCTAAAGGAAATAGCAAAATTTTTTTATAACCTTTTTTGTAAAGCCGATTGAGAGCTACAACAACTGTAGTTAGGAAAATTTTGCTATCTCCCTTAGATTAGATTCGGAAATAATCCTCAAAAATTCAACTGGGAGATAAGTCGACTTGAACCGTTTTGCCACTTCGCTACTGTAATAGAGAATAAAATGTGAAGAATATGCCGAAAATTTTTGAACGAATTACAATAAACAAAATACTCTAGTACTTGGATATTCTCAAATAAATAATATCTAACATCATCCTACGATGCAAATAAAATTGAGTATCGAGTAGTCACAGCGGAAATCCAGAAAATCCTCAACTTTTAACTATGTAACAATTCTAACTTTAGAATGGATATTCAATAAGAAGCGATAACTTCACAGCGTAACACATTTCTTAAACTCATTAAAACTTCTTCGTAAAGAATTGAACTCGCCTATTCTATGTAATTACACGTTCCAATAAACTCAAATTCCAAACGGAATATCAATGATCACTAATATGTAATAATATTTCGATCAATCCCCAACTATTTTTCATTCTTCAATCATTGCATTGAACATTCCGGAATAATTTCCTTCATTCTTTTCATTTTATTCATTTTTTATTCTGTTTTGAAATCAATGAATAATTCGTATTTAACAGTATTCGATTGACTAAATTCCCGAGGATAATTTACCCACGAACGAACAAGAAAACCCACAAAGATAAATTACCCATCTACAATGCTTCAGCCTCTTCCCTCGAGCACATAAGGCTCCTCTCTACCGACACTCGTAGATAACTCGTCACGTGGCTCGCTCTACAGTCACCTCTCCTCACCCAATCCCCCTTCCAATGCGATACTCTACCGACTAGGCGCTTTAATACAGCCGGAGCGATCGCAAGCTCTCCAGTCTCTCGGAGAAACTCTCTCCCTGGGACGCGAACGCGTGAGCATGACGTCTGCTAATAATTCCACGAATTGCATGACTTGAACTCTGAGGAAATCATCGCTTCATACCAAAAAATTCACCCAAGTAAAATAAACAAAACTAATTGAACTCAATTCCAAATAAAAAAAACAACTGTTGGAAATTCTGAAACTATTATTTATGAAATTCTTCGTCAATGATTGTTGACATTCGATCGATGGGTTTGTGATTGTTGGGGACAGGACAATGAACAGTGCAAAAAAATAGTTATGAAATTTTTAGCTCGAGTTGAATCGATGAATTAAGAACACTAAAATCTAAATCGCGAGTCATGATCCTGGAGTGTCAGGCGCGATTGTTTATCGCGCAAAAGTGTGACAACTCGTCTGGTAAATAAAAAGAAATATATTCTGGATAATAAGGATCAGTTGCATATTGGTGTGTTTATCGTTAGTGGTTCACCAATGAACAAAAAATAAAATCCACAAAGGTAAATTACCCATCACCAATACCCCAGCATCTTCCCTCGAGCACATAAAGCTCCTCTCTACCGACACACGTAGATAACTCGTCACGTGGCTCGCTCTACAGTCACCTCTCCTCACCTAATCCCCCTTCCAATGCGATACTCTACCGACTAGGCGCTTTAATACAGCCGGAGCGATCGCAAGCTCTCCAGTCTCTCCCTGGGACGCGAACGCGTGAGCATGACGTCTGCTAATAATTTCACGAATTGCATGACTTGAACTCTGAGGAAATCATCGCTTCATACAAAAAAATTCACCCAAATAAAATGAACAAAATTAATTGAACTCAATTCCAAATAAAGAAAATAACTGTTGAAAATTCTGAAACTATTTTTTATGAAATTCTTCGTCAACGATTGTTGACATTCGATCGATGGGTTTGTGATTGTTGGGGACAGGACGATGAACAGTGCAAAAAAATAGTTATGAAATTTTTATCTCGATTTGAATCGATGAATTAAGAACAATAAAATATAAATCGCGAGTCTTATGATCCTGGAGTGTCCGGCGCGATTGTTTATCGCGCAAAAGTGTGACATTGTCTGGTGAATAAAAAAAAAAATATCCTGGATAATAACGATTAGGTGAGTGTTAGTGTGTTTATCGTTGGCGATTTATCGCACGTATATTCGCGTATTTATTATTCAAACGAGCGCGTGCTTCCCCGGGCAAAGTTGCATTATCCCTCCCTCTTTGAAGGCGGAGTACCAAAGTCGGAGTATTAGCAGTTGGCAATTATCCGGGGCTCTTTATTGATACCGGTATGGAAAAATAATGAGCAATTTCCCTCCGGCATTTCTCATTCTTTTGCATTTTTCACAATTTTTTCCTATTTCTTCCCAAATGTCCAATTTTTGCGGAATGAGAAAAATTTCATTCGAAACGAAATCATGAAATAGTGATCAGAGTTCTCCTGAGTATTTGACAATTTTTGGGAAATAACAGCATTTTTGTTCTGATTGTTTTGTAAAGTAGAATGAGAGCTATAAAAATTTTGAATTTCCAATTAAAAAAAAAAATCATGAAAATTTAGTCGTGAAAATTATGTTTGAATTTTTGCAAAAACTATTAAAAATAAATGAAATAAATAAATGAATAATTAAAACTATGAAAAATAAATGTTTTTGCACAAATTCACCGGTAATTTGACTTTAAATCCCAAAAGTTGGCATTTATAAAGAGATTTAAGATTAAAAAATAGTAGAAGAAGAAATAATATCAGTCGAAACGCATGTCAGTTGCACGTCAGACTGATCCAAGATTATTATAATATAAATCTCATCTACAAAAAATGAATAAAGAAATGAAGATGTGGAGGAAGGAGTACAAATTACAGGCTGTCGGGATGCCTCGGGATTATATGTTGACGATAGATTGTAGTTATCATTGACTGAATCCAGTGAAAACAAAAGTATCAGTTTAAAGACACTCCGGGGGTACAAAGCAGAATGTTTTGCTCCAAAATTCTTCGGTGACAGGAAGACAAAACACGTATCAACGGTCCTGTTCTGATGGAGAATAAATGCTCAATCACTTTTTATCGAGACCTGAAATCTCAGCGATGGGATAATGATGATAAAAAAAACAAATATTACAACGTCTAATGGGGAACATACAATCAGTTTAGTAATGACTGTAAAATTTCTCATGATTCATTCGGAACGAGATAATGGAGATGCGCTGGCCTAGATTGTCGTGTGCATCATCTAGCCGTCGTCAAACGCATTACGTGTAAATAACTGGACAAAATGCAACAGAATTTTCCTAAAAACTATTGGGGGAAGTCTCTTTCTTTGATCTTTCAGGAAATGTCGAAAGATGAGAATCGATATCAGAAATGTAAAATAACTGTTAATGAATAGTTTAATGAATTCTCTCCCTTCAATCCTGTCGGAAAAATTGATATTCAAATATTCCGTCGATTGTGAGAATGATAATAAATCTAAAGGCATAAATCCTTTTATAACTGTCAATATGTCAACCATATTCATCAAAAACCGAGAGATAGAATTGAATAAAAGCTTTTAGCTCTCTTTGAATATTCCTTTTTCATAAATAATTTAAATTATTCAACTTTCCATAAACTTCCCGAAATGTTATTGTTTTGAACAAAATAAAAAACAAAACAGTTCAGTGAATTCTCTACTTTTGATCATATAGGACATATTAACATTAAATCATTCCGATGCTTATCAGAATTACAATAAATCTACAGGCATAAATCCTTTATAGCAGTGCATATTTCAAAACATATTCATCAAAACCCGACAGATAAAATCAAATAAAAGCTTCTAGTTTCCATAGGATCTCGACTCCAGTTAAAAGTGAATGGGGGAGCGCTCATTCACAAGATTTTCTCAACGAAGAGAGGGATCCGTACTGCCCCTACCGGTGTAGTTTCGTGTGTGTAAACAACTCCTGCGTCCACGCAACGTACACAGAGACAAATGCCCCCTCGATGTATCGCATTGCCGCCTTGAAAAAGGCGTTTAATATCCACGCGCGTAATTCCATTCACGGGGTATTAAACTTTTTAATACCAGCGACTTGTGATCTCACTGATCGATCCTGATTGCGCTGAATGTAAAATTTATACTGGGATATAGTATGTGGCTTCCTTTTTTATCTCCAGGGGATTCATTTATTTACTATTTTTCAATCCTTGCCCCCGAGATACATTATTTATACTCGTCTTATCGGTCTTGAGATCGACTCAGTCGTAATCTAATCAAAAGAGTACACACCTCTCGGCCAAGGGCCTGGCGTCGAGGCTCTTCCCCTCGGTTTTATTCATCTTCAAGGATTTTTTCAGCTATTCAATGGTTGAATCAATAGTAGAGTCGTAGAAGATGATAATTTAAAGCTACAAACTTATCTGCTACAAACTCAGGTCTTCAACTCGGGGCTTCAATTAAATGCCCGAGTTGTAGACCCGAGTTTGTAGCAGCGATGTCAGACAAGATATGAATGTTTTTTTGGGCTCAAATGAAAGAGCGGGTCGAGAAATGGCGTGCTAGGGCCTCCAAACATGACAAATGTCTCTAAAGATGATGTCTGTTTCCAATTGAAAAGCAGAGGTGTGACAACATTGTCTAGGAGGACAACGGGGTCTAGGAGTATGTATAGAACATTGGGGTCTAGGAGTCTCCCCTGGTTCGAAGCCATGTTTAGAGGCCCTAGCACGCCATTTCTCGACCCGCTCTTTCATTTGAGCCCAAAAAAACATTCATATCTTGTCTGACATCTCTGCTACAAACTCGGGTCTTCAACCCGGGCCTTCAATTCAAAATCTATCGAACAAAAATATACACCACTCAATAAAATTCCCTTGATAAAACCGGAGCCTCATGTAATTCTCTGTAAAACGAATGTATTTACCCGAAAGACACCAGATAAATGTCTCACGAGACCAATTACCACTCCGAAAATCATCATGTTTGAGTGGAAACTTTCTTTGCTGTCCACAAGTAAATTGATTGAACACGACAAAAGATCTCTTCAGGGGAACATATAATTTTTCGGCAGAAATAATTTTTTCTCTCAGTGTGGTTGCACGTACCCGGAACTTTCACAATCTCTATCGATAAAGGGAGTGAAAACACGAGGAACAGATCGCCGTGTAATCTAATAACAGCCTCATATAATTTGATGAAATTAGATAAAACCTGTATGAAACGCAGGGTCTTCGACTCTTTCCATAACGTAACGAGCTTAAACTGTCCCCAGCAGATCTAAAACCCTAGATACGGGGGCATGTTGCTTGGGTAATCTAATTACTGTCGCATTGTCGTTACTCGTGGCCAGTTGAGTGCGTCAGATAGGATGTAGGCCGGTCAAAGGGGTAGATAAGATTATTTTACGATTGGACACGAAGAGTTCTTCAGTCAATCGACTACTGGGATCACTCTTGGATCTTGTTATCGGCCTCTTCGTTTCCTCTTCGGCGCGATAATTCAATTTTTACCGGATTTACAACTGATCAGATCCATCGTTTATTGGAAACAAATCCAGTAGTTTCCGAGATATCAAACAAAAAAATTCTATAAAAACACCACCGCTCACGATTATCGAACCCATCTCGAAGAGCAAAACCCCAAAGAATGTTTATTCTTCCGATCCCTCATTATCATTGAATAAAAAAGGATAAAACCACCGTTACCTCTTCATCGCGCATCCATAGTTGGCCGTCGATGACGGATGAATATTCTGAAACAAAACTAAATGACTCATCCAGACTTATTACATCGACCACAATCAACTTATCGTCATCTTCTCAGCAAGAATAACTCGCGAAAATTCAAAATAACATCAGCCTTATTCTCCATCCACCCAGTAATAAATACCGCGTGTGCTATTCGTTTGTCGCGTCGTTTATTATAGTGCCAACACGTGAAAAGAATTTATTAGACTCAACTGTCGGCACTCCCAAATGAATTGAGTTTAGCGACCGCACACTCGGTCATTATTTCCCGCCTCCCAGCATCAGCGCGACACTCACAGCCAGTGGAAATTCACAGATCCCATTTTCTGATGGAAAATATCGATGTTTATGCTTCAGAAATCCCCGGAAAAGATGTCAGTGTTGTTGGAAGCACGGCCTTACAGGCCATTCAAATCCTCGGAGGAGTACCTGATTGCAATGAAGGAGGATCTAGCTGAGTGGTTAAATGCCCTCTATCCCGAGTTGAGGATAAGCCTCGACAATTTTATGGACAGACTTGACACTGGCGTCGCCCTCTGCAAAGTAAGTGCCCTATCAATAACGTACTTTAACGGCTTCAATCCAAGTCAACCAATTACACGTACATTCTCTCGCTCAAATTATTCATTTATATTGACATGTTCGCCGAGATTTTCATGAATGTAATTCTTGAATCCATTTTTATTTTCTAGTTTTAGTGAAATTTCGCGGAATTTTGTCATTCATAATGTAATATTTTGTACAACAATCAATGAAACTTATGAATCTTCGTTCAATGATTCCATGCAATCTATAGAAATCACAGAAATTGGTTGAAAAAGCAGCGTTATTATACTTTAACGACTTCTTTGAAATATTGTAAATTAGCTTAAATATCATTCGGATGCAGAATCGCCAAAAATATTTATTCTTTGTAAACCTCAATATTATTTGCGCAGAAAAACAAATAATTTGATATAAAATTCATACACCTGTGAATAATAGTAAAAGAAAATTCAAGAGAAGATGAAAAAGAAAATTGCTGAGAAAATTCAAAGAGAAGAAGACAAATTATACGAATTATTATGGATTTCTAAATGAACATCAGTATTTAGTATCAGCTTGCGCTGAATTTTTATTGCATTCTGGATTAAAAAATATATTCACCCAAATTTTATCCATTTTCACGGAATAGTTGTACTGAAATCAACTATTTCCACTGATCTTCTCATCAAATTTAGATTTATCAACGACGAAATTCCCAGGGATTTCAGTGAAAATGTCACTGAAAGCCGAAAATTCTGGATTCAAGGATATATTCTCTTGAACTTTATTAATTTCCACTTAATAATTAATCAGAAAATAGCTGTCTTCATTAATTTTCTCATAAAATCGTGATTTTCTAATGAAAAAATTCACCGGAATTTCCGTGGAAATGTCACTGACAAGAAAAATTCCCAGAACTTCAAATTCCCAAGAATTCTCTTCATTCTCAGCGAATCATTGACCTGAAATTTAGCTACAGTGACACATAAAAATGAACCAAAATAAAAATTCGAGACTGAATTATAGACTGAATTCACGTGGCATAAATCCGATTTCATCACATAGGCCCTCGAATTTGAATTCGCTTGCCCTTTTCTACAAAATTTCACTCTCTCTCAGTTCTCCAAAATATCCTCAAAAGAATGAATCATCCCCGTGACTTCCGGCCGTAAATAATTGTTAAAAATACATTAAACGGAAGAAGTAAAACAAGAAGATGGTCCTAAGCGGGTTTGTACCGTTAAATGATGCATACTGCGGCCTCTGCAAGTACCCACACATACAACTCAAGTGCGACCGATGGTTTACGATCAAACGTTGCGTATATTACACTCAAGCGAAAATAAAGAAATAGTGGAGAAAAATAATGGACGTAAACACAGTACCGGCCCTCGAGCGCTTCTTCATTCTTCCATTCGTTTCTTTCATTTCCTTTTTTTTCTTCTCTCCTCTGACGCTTCACTCCCGCAACCCTCCGGAGAGACTCTACGAGGCTCTTTGAATTATTTACTGTTAAGCTCTCCAAGATTCTTGACTCTTCACCCATTGTATTCACGTGTATGTACTGAGAATACAGTGGTACAATCCAAACTTGTATAAGGATAACGAACTCGGGGGTCTTGTCAGGAGTGCGCGTGCGTGCGCGTTAAAGGTATCCGAGTCAACGGAGGAAGCGGGATGCGTGCGTATTTGACACTCAGAAGGAAATCCACGGTGGGATACGTGACTGTAATCTCCAATTGACGCGAGAGCTGTAATAGTCGCGAGACTCAAGTCCAATCGTGCTGAATAGGGAAGCGCTTCAAAATGTTCATATCATTTTCTTTAAGGTTTTTTTTTCACGTCTTCTCAAGATTTCGTGAGAATTTCGTGAACTGCATTTCGTCTCCGCAACATTTTTGTGAAGAATCCGCAAGAGATTTTACTATTGCTCGTTTCTTCTGAGAGAGTAAAAAATTTTAGTGCAGATTAAATCACGGATATCTCAGAAACTAATAGGTGTCACGGAAAATATGACGATACACTTATTGTGGGAAATATCATGACCTCCATTTTGTTCCGGAAACATTTTTTTCTAAAGTAAATATTTTGGGGAGTATTCGCAAATTAATATGCATGGAATTTTTGCGGTTTTTAATTTGCAGATGAGTGATGAATGAAGGTTAGAGATTAGATTGCGGATATCTCGGAAACTAATAGATTTACATAAAAATGTCACTGAACATTTTTCGTAGAGAATTTTCCAAGCTACATTTTGCCTCCTGACCATTTTCCTCTAAATTAGATACTCTCCAAGATATTTGCAAACTAATCTCCACGGAATTTTCAGTTGAAATTTTTTTCTCCGCATCTAATGACAAATTGCGATAGATAATTTATCAATATTCGAAATAATTGAATGACACAACTGCTCGCATTGGAACGGCCCGTGGGTGGTAGAATTGAGTAAAAAATCCCTCACAAAAAGGAGAATAAATAGTCCCGCTGCACCCATATAGTCCCATAACCAGTGTAACCAGAATAGACGGGTTTGTGCGTAACAAGCTTATTGAGTAGGCCCCCACATAAGACTATCCAGCGACATTATTCCCCTCCTGTGTCTGTAACGACTGCATGATTATCCTAGGTACGACGAGGTCATTTGAGTATACCGAGTGCGCGGCGAATTCGTTACACGGTATACCTGGCTGAGGCAGCTGACTTTCACTGATCTACGACGAAGAGCCGACGTCGTTTGAATTTACCAAACGAGCGTCATTCATCGCGACCTCACCGCCAAGACCTGAAACCTCTTCTCCGCTTAGTTGGGAATAATGTATGCGCAAACCGGATGCGTTTATCCCACGTTTATTATATTTCCCCCTCTCGCCCTTTCGTCCCTCAAACACACTAAGTACGTGACTACTTCCTCGAGTACCATTCCATATGTCTTCTTTCGTCTTGTTTCGTATGTTAACGTGAATAATCAGCTGAGAGGCCGTCTGAGCCCGGACAACGTATCTCAGCGAAAATAAAGCTGATTCAGTGGTTGACATTTTTGGCCGAAATTTGGGGTGTTTCTGGAAATTTTTATAAGAGTTATGATAAAAGATGATTACGACAGCTATATCTGTTAATTTGGTTTTCATGATGATTCTTGAAAATTTTGAATTTTTCGGGAAGTTCCCTGAAACTGAGCTTTCTGTTTCTCCAAATGTGACAAAATTAGGTGAAAGAAAATCTTCAATTTAATAAAATATAATGAACAATGAATTATACATGATAAAAGGAAATGATGCGCAAAATAACCATTCGGAAGCATATTGCTAATTTATCAGCAAAAATAACTATACGATATACAATACAAGAGCAATTTCCCATTTGTTTCTCGGTGAATAAATTTTTATTCAGAACTTTCAACTTTATTCTCACATCACTTCGTCTCCCGATGCTGGTCGCCGTAAAATTAGTGACATATCAAGCCTGTACAACTGAAAAGTCACGCGAAAGTGTGAAACCCGTGACTTCCACCGCTGGCATACCATCGGCAATAACTCAGTACAAATTTATAGCCATTCCCGATGATTCGCGTGCTTTAGCATCCACCAGCGTGCAATTCAGGAACAGAGCAGAACAGAACAAGACGCACGCGCACATTACACCCGTGTATTTCAAGTTTTCTCGTGGCACTCACGTATTCCCTTGATTGTGTGCATTGTCACAAACTCCCGAGACAAACTGTATAAATTCACGCCAGTGAGATATTTAGAGTAGGTAGACGATAAGCGAAAAAGACGAGTGGCCACTCATGGAGAAAGTCCACGGTGGGTCGCAAGTAAAAAATTTGAAGAAAAAAAAATTCTGTATTTTTCTCTCGCTCCTTCGTCTCCACGCCAGACATTTATGAATGTCAATAATAATTTACCACCGTGAAAATGTTTTTTGGGTACAAAGAGACGGGGGTTTACAGCCGTATGCGATAGTCTCAGGGTCATCCTCTCAGGTGGATAATAACAAGCGAGAGCCAATGCAATACCGGGAGAAGAGAATACACGCGGAGAAATTTTCACACAATTTTTTTAATGAAGCCCGGGAAAAATTCAGGGTCCGGGAATTTTGTGTTGGAATTTTTCTAGTGTTGTTTCAGAATTTTTCCCGCTCTTCGGATCCTCGTACGTGTTCGCCTGAGATCGGTCATATTCGGGAGTCGCACACTGAGAGAAAAAATTTGTTCTGCCGGAAAATTATGCGCTCCTGTGAAGAGATTTTCTGTCATGTTGAATCAATTTACTTGTGGACAGAAAAGAAAGTGTTCACCAAAACATGATAATTATATGACGCTCCGATTTTATCAAGTGAATGTTATTGAACAGTGTACATCTTTGTCCAATAAACACTTATAATTTCAATGGAACAAATGACAATTTCAGGAGGAAATTAAATTATAGCCGAATAAATCGGCGACGGAAAACGTTACATGGATTTTTTAGAAAGGAACGCATAATCTCCATTTCCACTAGACTATATGATCAACCAATACACTTAGAAAATTTTTGAAAGTTCATGGAAGATATTATAGTAATTCTCATGAGAGTGACAATGAATCGGATTTAGGGGAGAATGGTTAATGAAATTTCAAGTTTTAGGTAGAATTCAAGGAAGCTCATGAGTTTTCATTGGGAGTGAGGTGGAAATTTCGCAATTTGATTGAATTTTCAATTTTTCCCTGAATTTTCCTGAATTTTCTGAATCTTCACGGAACAATTGAACCCAAAAATTTTATTGATTTTCAGATCATTCGAACGTAAAATTACGGGAATATTCGATTTTTCAATGACAAGATTTCCTGAAATTTCAGTGGAAATGAAACACGATAAAAATTTCCGGTATTTCGCACGGAAAATTCAGACGAAAATTTTCAATAGTGTAAAAAAAACCACACAGTATGAAGCCCGGAAGGAATACGTCATATGAAAATTCCAATCGACAGGCCACAAGTTCTTAAACAACTAGAGGGTGTTGTCTCGAACGAGAGAAAC